GCTCTGCTTCCGACGACCGGGCGAGGGAAACGAATGCGCCGACTTCAAGCAGGAGTGTCACTTTCATGCGATGTTTATGATGCGCTTGGGCAACAGCGACATTTCGCGTGCTGGCGTGCGGCCCCGCGCCCGTCCAATGGGCGAGCGAAAAATGCGCGCCGCGGCAAACGTTGCCGCAAATGTCCTGTAACCTTTTTGCGCGGCGCTGAGGCAAGCGCGGCATTTTGCCGCCTTGTGCGGGATGTGCGGTGCGTCCCCTTCCTGTCACGCGTTTCGGATCGGGGCCGTGACGTCGGCGACGTCAAAAGGTCAGTGTTGAAAGGACACGCGCCGAGTTTGCATGTTGTGTTCGTGGGTGGGAGGTCCTCCTGCTTTGGTCTGCCATCGGCCGGCTAGGCGGAAAAATAGGTGGTTACCATTTATAATCCACCGTTCGGGCGACAAGGAGGTTCTGGGGATGAGGAACTTGCATGTTGAATTGGATTTCGATTGCAAATGGATGAGCATGAGAGTCAGTGTCGAGGCGACTGTTTGGTGTCGGTCCCGATTCGCATTGTGATGGCCATGTCGGCATGCATTTCAATAGGGGTTTCGTTGTCTTTCTCGATGTGCTCTTCGACACGCGCCTCGATGTTTAATTACATGTGCATGTGATGCGCAGTTCGATTTGAAATCCGAGTTGCATGCCGAGGGTGATTTGATGTATCACTATAGCTGCCCATATTCAGGTGGATGACAATGTTTCTTTCGTCGGTATATCGGCTTCAAACATCGAAGTGCAATCATACTTGCACATTGGGTTTCATGCCAAGGTCAACTTCGTTTGTACTTGAACACGGCTTTCGATTTGCATGTCCGTTTAAGCATTATATTTACACTCCGGCTCCACCGCCTCCACCGCCACCGCTTCCACCGCCCCCACCGCCTCCACCGCCTCCACCGCCCCCGCCGCCCCCACCTGCCCCCACCGCCTCCACCGCCTCCACCGCCTTCCCTTGCTCCACCGCCTACACCGCCTCCAGGATTGGGAAAACGTCCACACCCGACGCCCCCCCTCAGATCCATGACAAGATCTCGGCAGCTGTGGACGCGGATGCCTTTTGCCGGCGCAGAATACACAGGTTGCACATACATTTCTGGAGCTCCGCGCGTATATCTTAGATCGGCGCTAGAATGGTTCCGACAGTTCATCTTGCTGCTGTTCTGCACTTTTTTCCAGCGGTGCACACCTTGCCCCCGCGAGCGAGGTGTACGATCAGCGCGGTGGGCCCTGTAGCCTGCCACCTCGCCCTGAAGGCGATAGTCATCGCGGAGCAGTATCTGCAGGAACACACCCCACGCCGCCTCACACCTGTAGGGCTCTCGTTTCGCTCTCCTCGTCCTTTCTCCGACTCCTCCCTCCTTCCCTCCTGTGCACTCTCTCTCCTTCGCTCCATCCCCTCATCTTCATCGTTTCTTCCTTCCTCTTCTTTCCTCCTCTTCTCTCCTCCTCGCCCTTCTCCGCCCCCTCACCCCTTCGTCACCCCCACCGTTTGCCCTGAAGAGCCAAAGCCTCCCAGAATCCCCCAGAACTTTTTAGAACCGCCGAGAAGGACCCGATCGACGAATTCGAATCTTCCATAACTGTCCTCTGTCATCGACATCGTCCTCTTCTTCCTTTTCCTCCTTCTCCTCCCCCGCTCTCCTCGCCTTCCCCTCCTCTCGCACTCCTTCAGCGTCTTCCTCTTATTATTCCTCTCCCTCGTCCTTCTCGTTCTCGTCGTCTTCCTCCGCTGGCGTTGTCTTGCTGCTTGACCTTTATCTCGCTGCCCCGGTTGTTGTTATTCCTCCCCAGCCTTCTGCTCTCAGGGAGGCTCACCTTCCCATTCTGCAACTGAGCAGCGTGCCGTACTGCTGCCGGCCTGCGCAGCCATTTTGGCTCAAGCGCGGCCTGCGCATCGGCGCGATGGGCGCCCATTGCAGCCAGCACTGCGGCGGCGCCCACGTCGACAGCTTCGGCAGCGACAGCGGCAGCGATAGCGACAGCGACAGCGACAGCCTCGCCGAGGGCAGCGACAGCGAGCCGCCCATCGACAAGGTCTTCGACGAGACGGTGGAGCAGCTGCGCCCGCTCGACCGGGACCTGCTCGTCTTCTGCGCGACCTCGAGCCTCGTCGCCGTGCGCTGGCTGCTGTGGCTCGGCGCGTCGCAGGACGCGCGGGATTCCGACGGCTCCACCCGTCTCCACGTCGCCTGCCGCAGCGGGGCGAGGCCGTCACAGGCGAGCTGCTGCGCCACGCGCAGCTGCTTGCCTCGCCATAGACGGGTCGACGGGTCAGCGGTGTTGGGCCCGACGGGCAACATGGGGATGCGCCTGCCAGCGCCCTTAGGAGTGGGAAGCGGGGAAGGAGGAGGGAGAGGAGGAGGAGGAGGAGGAGGAGGAGGAGGAGGAGGAGGAGGAGGAGGAGGAGGAGGAGGAGGAAGAGGCACAGGAGGAGGAGGAGGAGGAGAAGGAGGAGGAGGAGGAAGAGGCACAGGAGGAGGAGGAGAAGGAGGAGAAGGAGGAGGAGGAGGAGGAGAAGGAGGAGGAAAAGGCGGAGGAGGAGGAGGAGGAGGAGGAGGAGGAGGAGGAGAAGTTTAGGGTACTTGGGTGCCTGGGCCGCCAGGCCTTCCAGCAACAACCCGGGAAGTCAGGGTGCCTGGGGGCCTCCCTCGGCAAGTCCTCGTCCTCCTCGCCCTCCTTCGTCTCCCCCCCGGACCCTCCTCTCTTTCCTGCTCTCCTTTCCTCGTCCTTCCCCTCTTGCTGCCCATATTTCTCCTCTTGGTTCCCTCGTGCTTCCCCTCCCGCTCTGGCTACCCCCCCCCTGGAGGGGGGCAGCTGCCGCTGCCTGCCTGGCCTGGGCCAGCAGCAGCCGCCGCCCGCGGCTGCCGGCCCCGCCACTGCCTGTGGCCGGCGGCTGGGGGGAGGGGGCTGCACCGGCAAGAAGGAGGAGAGCAGCAGCAAGAAGAGGAACAGGAGAGGGACGACGACAACCAGGGGGGAGAAGGAGGAAAAGTAGGAGGAAAAGGAGAAAAAACAGGAAAGCAAGAGGAGGAGAAGGAGAAGAAGGAGGAGGAGGTGGAGAAGGAGAAGAAAGCGTAGGATGAATATTATTAGGGGGACGAGGTGAGGAGGAAGAGGAGAAGGAGTAGGAGGAGGAGGAGGAGCAGGAGGAAACCTCCAGATAGCCCAAGATGGTCCATGATGGCCTCAGAGAGACCTAGATGGATCAAAATGGCCCGAAACGGCTCCAGGATGAAGAGATGGCCCAAGATGGCCTCAGAGAGCCCAAGATGACCTTCGAGATGGCTCAAGAAGGCCCAGAATTTCTCAAGATGGTTTCCAAGATGCCCCAGGAGGATCCAAGACCGCTCCAAGACGGCTCCGAGCGGCCACTGGGGTCCCCAGGAGGCCGCCAGCAGGCCAACATGTTTCAAAATGCAAGGGAACTCGATGAACGTTGCGTTCTCGCTTTTTTGCTGTGGATGGCCTTCCGAGGCCTCAAGGTGGCTCCCAGAGGGCCCAAGAGGGCCCTGAGGGAGACCAAATACAGCCCCGAAGGGGCCCCGAGAGCGCCCAAGGGCGCTCCAAGAGCGTCCCAAGAGTGGCCCAAGAGGCGATCTTGGGCGCTCCCGAAGGAAGCCCGAATCCCACCAGCCCTCTGGGTTAGGTGGTAGAACGCGTTTGTTTCGTCTCTCTCTACCCCTCCCCCTACCCCCTCCCCTATGCCTGGGAGGGGGGGTGACGGAGGCGCCGCAGCTTCCAAGATGGCCCAAGAAGGCTCCAAGAGGGCTTCCAAGTCGCAAGATGGCCTCCAAGATGGCCCATGCTACTCCAAGATGGGCCAAGATAGTCTCCGACATATCCCCAAGAGGCCCCAAGACAGCCCAAAGACGGATCCAAGTGCCCTCCGAGCCCTACACGGCGCCCGCCAAGATGCCCAAACCCTTCAAAAGCTTAGGGAAAACCAATATGTTTGGCATTATCGCCTTTTCGCTTCAGATGGGTTTGGGAAGCCCCAAGATGGCCCCACGATTGCCCAAAAGAGGCCCAAGAGGGGCCCAAGAAGGCCGAAGACGGCCCCAAGATCGCCCAAAGGGCGCCCAAGAGCGCTCCAAGAGGGCCCCAAGATGCCGTTTGAGAGCCTCCGAGGGGGCGATGCTAATTGAGGGGCCTCATCTTTTTGAGCCATGGGGCCCAAGATGACCTCAAGAGGCCTCCCAGCCTCTCCCCAAAGACCCTCCACCCCGCCCTGTTTGGCCCAATATGGCTCCAAGAGAGCCCTAGATAGGCAAATATGGTTTTCGAAATGGCCTAAGATAGCCAAGCATGGCTCAAGATAGCCTCCGACAGACCTCCAAGAGGCCTCAAGGCAACCTCAAGATGGCTCAAGATAGCCGAGCATGGCTCAATATAGCCTCCGACAGCCTCTAGCAAAGCATGGCTCAATATAGCCTCCAAGAGGCCTCAAGAAAACCGGCAATCAATTCTGGATGGGCTGGTGGGGATACGCGAAGCATCAAGAGTTGAAGCTCTCCTGTTCTTTGATCTATCTCCTCCAAGATGGCCCCAAGAGCGCCCCAAAGTAAGGCTCCCAAGAGGGCATCAACAAGGCCCCAAGAGGCCCCAAGAGGCGTCCAAGATGCACCCAAGGGGCTCCCAAGATACCTCCGAAAAGGCACCCAAGATTGGGCCGCCAAGAGGCCCTCAAAACGCTCCAAGGGGCGACCAAAAGAGACATCTGAGGAGACTCTGAAAGGCAGCTCGCCTGGGCTCGTGTCTGTGGGGATACGCAAAATAAGAATCGCGCTTCGCGCGTCGCGACACGGGCCGCTAAATCACCTTTTTTTTTCCCAAGGGTTTGGCAAAGGCGTGGCGCATCGCACGTTCGGTTCTCCGGAAGCGCAAGAAAATCCAAGTCTTGACGTGCATTGGTTTACTCCTGCATCTGTTTTGATATTCCAAGCGCACCCAGCCGTGGAGAGCCCAGGGGGGCCCGAAGGGCCCATAGCACTGTCGTTATCTGCGTTATCGTGTAGCTGTTTTGGCTTCTTTTTTTTTCGTTGTGGCAGTTTTAGCGTGCTCTTCTTGTCTCCTTGTCCACAGACATGGCAGGCCGCGCGGACGCTCGGTCTCGTTCCCCGCGTGTGTTCCTGAACTACCACAGCCAACACTTCGGTATCATGCCAATGGCCGCAGATGATCAGATCCCAAATCCGTTGTGGACGTCGCTTTGGTCCTCCGAGCGCCACGAACCCCTCAGGAACCTCGACAGAATTGACATCTCTCACAAGTTGACCATCATCAAAGGCAAGCCTGGTTGTTTGTTCTGTCGCCTGTGTGGTATTTTCATGGTTGAAACTTTCAATGGCGCCTTTGCGACGGTCTGCCCCGAGCACCCCCTCAGCTACTACCGCCGCAAATGCTTGACGCGCCTGTGGCAGGGCAAGTTCCCGTACGCAGTGCACGGCGAGACTGACGCGGCGAACGAGGGGCGTTTCCAGGGGACTCGCCGCTTGGCGGCAAAGGCGGCGCCAGCGCTGCTGGCGCTCCCAGCCGCGCCACCGCCAGTGCCGGTCCCAGCGCCGAAGGCCAAGGCTGCCCCGGCGCTGGAGGCCAAGCCCAGAGCCCTGTTGGCGCTGCCCGCGCCGGCGCCCAAGCCGCCGGCGAAGCCAGTGCCATTCCCTATGCAGCTCCGCGTTGGCCGCCCAGATGTGCTGTATGACTTGGAGGCGATGGTGCTGCCCCTGCAGCCCCCTCAGTTGCCTGCTAAGGCCAAGCCAGTGCCATTCCCTATGCAGCACCAGATCGTGCCAAAAATGATGTTCGAGGTGTTGCCCCAATTGCACCGGCAGATGGCCCAGGATCCGCTGCCTGACATTGACTCAGACAGTGATGCCCAGGCCACTAACAGCCCCTCCTTCTTTTCCGACAGTAGCAGCAGTCGTGGCAATGCCGGCAGTGCCTCTCAGGACGGCCGCCATTGATTAAGGTAAGGGGCGGGGGAGGAGGAGGAGAAGAAGGAAGAGGAGGACGACGACGAGGCGGAGGAGGAGGAGGACGAGGAAAGGGAAGAGGAGGAGGAGGAGGAGCAGGAGGAGGAGGAGGACGAGAACGAGGATGAGGAGGAGGAGGAAGAGGACGAGGAGGACAACGATGAGGACGAGGAGGAGGAGGACAAGGAGGAGGGAAGTAAATACAGAGGGAGGGGGGGAGTGAGGGAAGGAGGGAGGGAGGAGGATAAGGAGAAGGAAGAGGAGGGGGAGGAGGAAATGAGACTCTCGTCCTGGTATCAGCTGAAGTCTGAATTTAATGTGTAGGCCGACTTTGTTCTGGCCTCGCCCAAGTAGGTTGCGGTGCTCCCGTTAGCCGGCGTGACGGGCGACGCCATTGCAAGCCCCTTCTTGTGAATTGTGATTGCTCGTCGTAATCGATGCGATGCGAAAGGACCCACCAATTTGTCACGTGAGATTCCCTCATCGTCGGTTGTTGATGCCTCTTGCGAGGAGGTTTGGTAGGCAGGGGCTTGCAACCTAAGATTGGGTTGCAAACCTCTGCGTGTTATGCCCTTCCCACGGGCGCTCCCAAGGCCCCCAAGAGCGCTTCAAGAGGGCCCCAAAAGGTGCCAAGGAGGCCCCAGGAGGACCCAAGAGGTGCCCAAGAGGCCTCCAAGAGGTTCCCAAGAGACCCCCAAGAGGCTCCAAATGGCTCTCCGAGGCACCCAGGACGCTCCAAAAGGCCTCCGGGGCCCCTCAGTTGGCATCCTAGGATGAGGCTCGGAGGACATGGATCAAACAAGAGTGGAGCTTAGCTTAAAGTAGGGTCGAACACCCAAGAGACCAAAATGGAACCAAACATATTTTAAAATTATCCCAGTGCGACCCTACCTAGGAGTTGGAACCCCTAGGAAAGCAGCATTCGTAGTAACGGTAAAGCTAAGCTAAAGCTAAGCTAAAGCTAAGCTAAAGCTAAGCTAAAGCTAAGCTAAAGCTAAGCTAAAGATAAGCTAAAGCTAAGCTAAAGCTAAGCTAAAGCTAAGCTAAAGCTAAGCTGCAGTTAAGCTAAAGCTAAACGAAAGTTCAGCTAAGCTAAGCTAAACTAAGAAGCTAAACTGAAGCTAAGCTAAAGTTAAGCTACAGCTAGGCTACAGCTAAGTTAAAGCTAAGCTAAAGCTAAGCTGAAGCTATGATAAAGCTAAGTTAAAGCTAAGCTAAAGCTAAAGCTAAGCTAAAGCTAAGCTACATCTAAGCTAAAGCCAAGCTCAAGTTAAGCTAAAGCTAAGCTAAAGCTAAGCTAAAGTTAAGTTAAAGCTAAGCTGAAGCTAAGCTAAAGCTAAGCTAAAGCTGAGCTAAAGCTAAGCTAAAGCTAAGCTAAAGCTAAGCTAAAGCTAAGCTAAAGCTAAAACTAAAGCTAAAACTAAAGCTATTGCAAAAGCTAAAGCTAAAGCTAAGGGGCTGGGGGAACCGCGGGGCGGATACTGGGGGAACCGCCCGGGGCGCTTTCCACTGCCCGGCCCCTTTAAGCCCAGAGAGTAAGAACCCTTCTAGGCAGAGCCTAGGTAGGGAATTAGTGGTTGAGGCTTCACCGCCGAGGTCGTTTTGGGCACCCTGACGCCTCGCGACCGGCCCCGTCCACGCCCAGGGGAAGGGGCGGGGGGAGGGGCAAGCCCATCCCCGAAGGGGAAGGGGGCAGATGAAAGACAAAACGCCCTACGCCACCTACATTACACCCTAAAGGGCTGGTTGGATTATTTTTGCATTCCCGCGGTTTCGAGCTTCTGTGGGCTCAAGCCCCCAACGCGACCTCACTCAAGACGGCCCAAGAAAAAGGCGCCAAGAGGGCCGCAAGATTGCCAACCAAGACGGCCCAGGAGGGGTCCAAGAGGAGCTCACAGGGCCCTCGCGGTCCCCAAAATATGGCCCCAGGGGCTGGGGAGCCCACGTTGAGCGGATCCGTAGCCATTTTTTGGCCCAAGCGATGGACGATTTGTTCGACGATTGTGAACCTCCGACCAAACAGAAGCCTCCATCACCATTGCCACACACAGCCACAAAGAAAAATGACGTCAACGTGAAGCGATGCCGGGTGGCCAGAGCCGTATATAACAATCCAGCTGCCTGCGGCACGTCCCGCCGCCGTGCCAGCCCAGCACATGTAGGGACTACCGGAGGCCAGGCCTCGGTAGGGGTTCTTGGGAGGGCTTCGTGGGGCATCTTGGCCGCGCCTCGGGGGCGTCTCGGGGGCTATTCGGGGGGTCCTCGGGCCGTCTGAGAGCGCCCATGGACCGCCAAGAGGCCCCCAAGAATCTCCAAGAGGCCTCCACTGGGGGGCCCTGCTTCTGCGTGCTGCCAACTTCCCTGGTTGAGGCAACTCCTTTGGCCATCGTTTCTGGATGGGCTGGTGGGGTTACGCGAAGCGTTTCGAATTCAAACAACTTAAGGTAAATTGCTGATGCGGGCCTCTTTGGGCTGTGCTGGCGGCTTCACTGGAGCCATATTGGGGCGTCTCGGGGGCCTGGAGGGGAGAACATTAAACGCGGCAGAAACCTTGCCAGTGGCGGATAACATTAAAAAGTGGCGCAACGAGTTTCTTGTGGCAGATGACCGGCCGGAGCTCGGGTGTTGGCTTAAATCGAGTGCTGTGAATGGAACGTGGGCGGCAGGGTGTGTGATTTGCAAGCTTGCCAAAGCGCAAACTGACTACGCTGATTTCAATGTTCGTTCTGTGCTTGATCGTCGCAAGCTTCAGAAGCACCACGTATCAAGGAGCCACTTGTCATCTGTTGCAAAGGTTGTTGGTGGAGACGTGCCACGCGCCAACGCCCCGTCAACTCTTCAGTTCAAAAAGGTGTTGGCCGACCGCCTGGCATTGCAGTCGTATGCAAAGGGGTCTGAGGGAGTGGGAGCTGGCAAGAAAGTCAAAAGGTTAACATGGTGCTTATCTGAAGCGCTCATGGATCAAGAGCGTGAGTTTCTTCGCAAATCGGTTTCTATATCATGGCACCAGGATGCTAAGGCTCCTCGACTCCTATGCCAATATGGCGCTGCAACGAAAGATTGTGAGCATCGAAAAGGCGTGATCGGGATAGCTCAAGACTTTGGCACAACTTCTTATGATATCAAGAACGCTGTTGTGAGTGTGCTACGTCAATTTTGCACAGCTCGACGGAACCCGCCCTCGCTCAAAGGTCGCCCAGGAACGTTTGACAAAGCTTTGTACGGTCATATTACGCAGTGTGTTCATCTATATGACGCGGACGGCGCGAGCGACGAGCAACGAGCAGGCCGTATATTGGGCATGCAATCTGGTGGTGGTGTCTCGCCGATTTTTCCAAATCTCAACATCATCGTGCGTGACAAGGCTCATGCTAGCCGGCGGTTCTTGGGTTCGAAATTCCAGGCCAGGATCCTCATCGTCATCCTCCTTATCCTCCTCCTTATCCTCCTCCACCACCTCCTCCTCCTTGTATTCCTGCCGTTGCTGGTGATGCTCCGCCCCATCATCCTGTCCCTTCTCCTCCTCCTACTCCTCTTTCTCCTCCTCCTCCTCATTCTGGGACATCGCCCGTACCCCCCCCCCTGCCAGGGCCTTGCAACGCCATGCTTCCCAGGCTTACTTCCAGGCCGTGGACGGCCGACGAATTCCTTGCAAACACGCTGGATTCGCTCATCACTGGAAAGGAAGCGATTGTTCATTTGATTCAATACTCACCTGATCTCTCGTCCTTGTTCGGGCGCAATGTCCAAGCTTTGGAGAACAACCCTTGTGCGTCCCGGACCGTCCGCAATCTACGGCACGCAGAACAGAGATTTGATTCGGCGTCGAAACCATTAGCTAGGTTCATCGAAGGAGCTTCGCACGTGTCCGACCGCCCCCATTGCTTGACGTATGTATCCCCCAGGCCCCACACACATCTATCCTTCTCAGTCGTCCTCCTCCTCCTCCTCCTCTTCCTCCACGTCCTACTCCTCCTCCTTCTCCTCCTCCTCCTACCCCTCATAATCATCATCCTACTTCGCCTCTTCCCCCTCCAACAACCTGCTATGCTTGCAACGACTGCTGGGGGGGCAGTGGCGTTTTTTGCTATTTGATGCCGTTTGGGCAACAGCAATTGACATCACAATCAAGAGGGCGGGTAGAGCTCCCGCCAGAGTTGCCCGTGATTTTCTGATGCAGGTAACACCGGAGGAAATTTTACAAGTTGCCATGCTAGCTGATGCTGGCCATGAGGCCCTTTCTGTAACGCGATTTCATGATTCAGACGAATACGATTTATCAGAAATATCGGATGTGATTGCAGATTTTGTGCACCGTATAGACGTCTTGTTTGTGAAAGGCGGTGCCAGAGGCTCTGTGGGGATGAAACAATGTGTTGACGCTGCGCGTTCCTCTAACAACCCATCCAAAAACGATGCCCAGGGGAGTTGAGGTGATCCGGGAAGTGGGGGAGAACAACCAGCAGGGGAAGCCGTCCGATACCCCGAGAGGGGGGGATGGTGGAGGAGAAGGATGCGGAGGAAAAGGAGGAGGAGGAGGGCGAAAAGGAGGAAGGAGGAAGAGACAGTGGACAAGGAGGAGGAAGAGGAGGAGGAGGAGGAGGAGGAGGAGGAGGAGGAGGAGGAGGAGGAGGAGAAGGATGAGGAGGGGTTACATTGGCGAGCCCAGGGCCGTCGTTGAACGTCGTGGATGCTTCCTGGGATCCTCTTGAGGCCTCTCGGGGGCCTCTTGGGAGCCTCCTGGGAGCGTCCTGGGCGCCTTTTGGGGCCGGCTGGGCGCCTTTGGGGGCCATCTTGGGGCGCCCTTGGGAGCCTCGGGAGCGCTCTTGGGGCCATCTTGGAGGAGATCGATCAAAGAAGAGGGGTTATCTCGTCTGCGGGAGCCCCAAGAGTCACCTTTTGGGGCGCTCTTGAGGTGTTTGGGGCGCTCTTGAGGTGTTTGGGGCTCTCTTGGGTCTCTCCTAGGGTCCTCGTGGGCCATCTTGGAGCCGTCTCAAGGCATCGGGTGGC